GATGGAAGGGAGGGCAGATTGGGGAAAAGGGTATTCAGAATGCGCGCTGTCTTGGGGTTAGGGGAGGGATGAGATGGAGAGAAAATCTGGAACTCAAAATCTTGTGGAAGTGAATGTTGAAAACTAAAAATAAATAAATTAGTGAATCTTAAAAAATTAAAAAATAAATAAAAATAAAAATAAACATAAACAAAATATTTGTAGTGAAAGCACATAGTCAAGGAATAGAAATTGCCACACTGTCCATTTCCCAAAATGTATTTTTTGTTCTATATCTTGTTTCCATCACTTCTAGGTTAGGAGGTAGGTTGCAGAAATCCTGGTAAGTTCCTGATGTAGTGGTTGATTATTACAAAAATAAGTGTGACATCTTGCCAAGTTGCTGGCCTTCATACTGTTGTTATTGTTATCAATTACTCCCTGTAGTCTGCATTAGTCTGTATTGCTCTTCCCTGGTTTTCACTGAAATTGACTGTTTTGTGGCATATTATTACTCTATAACATTCACATACCAAAATTTGTTCACCTGTTGTCTTATTGTAGGACATCACATCTTACTTTCCAGCTCTTTGGGAAAGAGGAACTTTCCTACCAAAAAAGGAGCTGCTATCAATATTTTTGTACACTTGGGTCCTTCTCCTTTAAGGGAATATGGCCTCTAGTAGTATCATTGGGTTAAAGAATATACTCAATTTCTAAATTTCACAGCTTCACCAACAGTAAATTAATGTGTCTACTTTCCCATAGCCCTTCTACACGTCTTATTTTTTTTCTTGTCTTTGTCGAATGCATGGGGGTGAGGTAGAGCCTCAGAGTTGGTTTAGTTTGCATTAGTCTAATTATTGATTTGGAGCAGTTTTGCTCAAACTTTTTTAAAATGATATTTAATGATATTTTTCTCCCCTGCTGATCTGCCCTCTCTCAGATAAACAAGGAAGAAAAAAACAATTGTGTAACAAATACACAATTGAAGAAAAAAATTTCCTACAATATTTAGTAATGCTCATTTTCTTATCACCCTTACCAATCTGAAAATCTTTCTAATTATTAGTGATTTGGATTAGTGATTATAGATGTAGAGTATTTTTTTCCCACATAGTGGTAGATAATTTACATTTCTTTCCTTTCAAATTGTTTGTTCATAGTTTTTGACCATGTCTATTGTATCCACTCTTTATATACTCACCACATTTTTTGGGAGAAGCCAGCCAGGTCTAGTGAGATCTTAAACCCCAGGGCTGACAGCTTTCCAGAAAAACTCCCCTTTCACTAAGGGACTTTTTCATGAAAGATTGCCTCCACAGGTTAGACTCCTGTTCTCAATTCCTATTTCTTCTGAGCTAGGGTAAGGTTTAGTTTGAGATTGTTTGCCCCAGGGATTGGGGTGGTTTAGGATTAGGATTAAGTTTTAGTTTTCTTTTCAAGTTTTCTCTTAGGCATTGTGAAGGAATATGTGTTCCAGTAGTGGTAACATACCTGTGGGTTTCCCCTTGAATAAGCTTTTGGTAGCATGAGACCAGGGGTTGCCCATGACAGCTAAGAGAATGACTAAGAAGCTCTCTATTGAGTTTTGTGACATCTGACATAAATCTGTAGGAAACTCAAATGGTAATGTGTTTTGGCTAAGCTGGCTCCTATTATTACAAACTGAAAAAAATTAAAGCTAGTGAGCATGTGTTTGTCTTATCGTTTTGTCTGCATTTTTGTTTCTTTGTAAAATGTTGGAAAATCTTTGTCTCATGATGTGTTTAGTGTTGTTTGTTGATTCTGTTTCCTTGGAAGATTTCTAAAGGGAAAATGCAGCCAGCCACCAAAAAAACCCAAAAACCCCCCAAAAAATAACAACTGCTAAAAAGCTGCATCCAAAGAGTTTAGTACACTGGGAAAGATTTATGAAGTTTCATACTTGAAGCAGTCATTCCAGTAAGCCGGGCTCAGTCCCACTTTAGGCTTTCAATGGGAGATTAAGTTAAAAAAAATACCGCTAAAACATCTTAATCGATTTTGGAGGTTTGGAGATTAATCATTTAAGATTACAAAGGAGAACTCCTGAGACTTTGGGTAATTCCAAGAATTTATCCCCTTCTGAAATATCTTTGTGGGTTTTGGGGCACCACTCTGTAGAATTTAAGGAAAAATCAGAATGATATTCTGTGAAAGTTTCAGGAGTAAAACATAACTTGGATAATTTTTTCCCCCTGAAGATTGATAGCCCTATTGTCTTAATGTAGTGAAGGAAGCCTGCTACTTTGAAAGAAATGCCAGAGTGAAGAAGAAAAAAAAAAGGTATGTGGTTTCCTTTTTACAGCTGCCTCTTGTTAATCTTTCCTTGACCATGAAAAGAGAAAAAATTGTTTAGATATACCCCTTCTGACCTCTATCCCAGATCAGTAATCTCCTGAGCCTCATCCCAACTCACAGATTCCCCTCTGACTCCTATCTCAACTCAGAAACCCATGATTCTCCCAGCTCAGAAACTCTCTCCCCTCTGACCCTATTAACCCCTCTCATCTCAGATCAGGTTCCCAAAAGAGGGGGGTGAAAAAGTGCTAGAAAAATGCAAGGAAACAAGTTACATTCTAGTTTTGAAAATTCATTAGCTTTGTGATCTTAAGCAAGTTATCTTCTGTGTTTGCCTCAGTTTCCTGATCTGTAAAGATGAGAATAATGATGGTACCCACCTCTCAGGATTGCTGTAAGGATCAAATAATATGACTGTGACCTGCTTAACACAGTGAATGGCATATGGTAAGCACTACATAAGTGATTAATATTGTTATTTCTTTAATTGATATAATTTTTCCTATATTTTGATGTAAAACAGATGACAATAATGATGAGGATTATAATAGTTTAGTATAATAAAGAATGAGTAACTGTTAGGGAAACATGAAGAAGTTAATAGTATTCAAGCCCTAAGTTGTGATTAGTGAAATTTTGCTATTTAAGGTAAAAACTCTAGGGACTATAATTTACTATTGTTTTGAGTTTGGTTACAGGGATGGTTGTCTGGATTGCCATGAAGTCAATAGTAGAAAATGGCATGTGCTGCAGTCTGATAACATGGTGGATGCCTGTCCCTGGAAAAAGTTGAGGGAATGACCTTAGCATGGACTCCAGAAGGATCCTCTTGACTCAGTTTCCCCATCATGCTATTTCCTTTCTGAACAGGAAATTTTCCCACCTGACTAATCCTAAGCCTGGCTTTTGATACCCTGTGACTACATGATTGGCAATCTGATAACTCATGTGTAAAATCAAACAGCTAAGGAACTTTTCCCCCTGTTATGGTATTTATTAGGTCAGTCCGTGCCCTTCAGGGGATGAGTCTTGACATTGTTCTATGTCCCTCCTTTACCATTCATAGCAAATTTCTACAATCACGGCAGGTGAGCAACAGACATTTTGTAAGTACAATGCTAAATCTGTTAATATATTGATACTGAAACATCTCTGAGTTACTATAACAGGATGCAAGTATGAAAAATTTTACAATTTTAATTTGATTTTGTGATCAAGTTATAATATAAGAATGATATCCTCCAAAAGGAGAGAATTAAAGTATTAAGACAAAAGTGTAATGTAAAAGTTTCCTAATTAAATGGTGTTGTATATTTTGAGAAAGCAGTGGGATTATATTGTTTTCTCTAAGAATTATACATATTTATATGATTGACTTCAGAGTTTATCTAGCATGGAAATTTAGGCTTTGAGTATGTTTTAGTATTAAGTTCTCAAAATTGGATTAAGGATTTTACATATAAAATTGTACTGATAATTGTAAAGAAAGTGAAATTCCCCCCCATTTTGAAGTATCTATCTGATAACTTTAAGAGAGAAGAATTCATTTTACAGTTAGACCTTCATGAATGTTTTTTTGGAATCTTATATCAGGTACAGGATTTAAGGAAAGGTAGAAACAGTAAATAGTATATTAAAAAACTGAAATCCTCTGAAGTTTAAAACTAGAGAACCAAATTTAATAGATTGTATTAAACTGTATTGCATCTTAGTACAGGCAGATTTTAGTAGAATTATCTAGGGATCTCTACAAGTGATTTGGAACCAGAGAAGCAGAGCCCACTTCAGTTGCCCAGATAATGAGCCCTGAGAATGCCCAAAAGAAGAAATTCAGGGACCAGATGACTCCAGGTGATATCTGGGACTCAAAATGTGCTGATTAAATGGATATCGGTAGGAGGTTACTAAGATATAAGAAGACTTTGTGCTAGTTGATATTGATGATAATTATTGTATTGCTTTGGTCTTTTGTTTCATAGTGTTTATGTTTTAAGTTTTCTTGGTTACCTTGGAGATATGTGAATCTCCTCAAAAATGTCCACTGTAAGCCTCTTAGTAGCTTGATTTATAACTTATACTCCTGATTACCAACATATGAAAAACCTTATAGAATTGGCTTATAAATAAGTGACTGATGAATTAAATTGAAGGGGGGAACTGAGGAAATTGAGATTAGGACAGCAAGGGTAGTGAGAATTGAGTAAAACACACTGACTCCATCTCATGATTCCATTCTGGAGCTAGCTCAGTTCCCCTTCTGTTCAATTTCTGTCGTATATGAAAACATTATTTAATTGTGGGAATTGTGAGAAAATTTTATTTTCTTGTTTGACCCTAGCCCTACACGGCTGGGAAACTGGAAGACCCCTACCTATTGCTTAGAGACCCTTCACTAAAGACTTAGATTATGCTGACCAGAAACCTGGCTAGACACAAAGATTGATGCAAGGAGTCTTCTCACAATTATACATCTCAAGCAACCCTGATGTGGTATCTGAAAACTGGCCTTATGCTGATCAAACATTTTATTGTTTACATGTTCCTTTGATCATTCACAGACAATTGGGGGTGGAGGGAGTGGAACACTTCCTTTTCTGATTTCAGGGAATTGCACCTAATTTCTGATTTCAGGGAATTTTCCCCCTCCCAACTTGAAAAGTCCCTAATCTCTCATCCAATTAGAATCAGACCACCTAATATTGTATTGTTTCCTTTTAATTAATTGACTATATTTGATTAATTGTTTTTAATGTATAAAAGTCTATTTCCCACAGTATTTGGGGTCCAGGCCTATGGTGAACAGATCTGGTCCCGATTTGTTAGGCAATTGGCATGCATTGCTTAATAAGTCAAAGCGCTCAGAAGTTCGAACCTTTGCTTCTTCAGTAATTAATTCTTTCACACGCCACACTACACTGTTTACATTCAAAAGGTTTCTCTCCAGTGTGGATTCTTTGATGTTAAGCAAGACTCTTTGTTAAGCCCTTTCCATGTTGATCATATTAATAAAATTTCTTCCAAGTGTGGATTCTCTGATGTGCAGGAAGACTGGATCTAATTCTGAAAGTCTTTCCACACTAACTGCATTCAAAAGGTGTCTTGCAAGTGTGGATTTTCTGATGGGCAACAAGATTGCCCTTCCATGTGACAGCCTTTCCACACTGATTTCTGTTCAGTGTGGATTCTCTGATGGGCACCAAGACCAGAGCTCTTTTGCTTTGCCACACTGATTACATTCATAAGTTTTCTCCTCAGTGTGGACACTCCCATGTACATCAAGACTGCGGATGATTCTGAAAGTCTTTCCACACTGATTATATTCCTAAAATTTCTCTTCAGTGTGGATTCTCTGATGGACATCAAGATGGTAGCTCCTTGTGAAAGCCTTTCCACACGGATTACATTTATAAGATTTCTTGCCACTGCGGACACTCTTCTGTTAAATAAGCTAAAAACAGTAATGAAAAGCTCTGCCACATTCATGACACTCATGAAGTTTCTCTCCAATGTGGATTCTCTGATGTGCAGCAAACCTGGAGCTCTTTGTGAAAACCTTTCCACATTAATTACATTCATGAGGTTTTTCTCCAGTGTGGATCCTCTGATGTTTAGCAAGACTAGAGCGGATTCTGAAAGTCTTTCCACATTGCATACATTCAAAAGGTTTCTCTCCAGTGTGGATTTTCTGATGTGCAGCAAGATTACCCCGTCGTGTAAAAGCTTTTCCACATTGGTTACACTGATAAGGTTTCTCTCCAGTGTGGATTGTCTGATGTACAGCAAGACTGGAGCTCTGTGTAAAAGCCTTTCCACACTGATTACATTCAAAAAGTTTCTCCTCACTGTGGATTCTCTGATGTGCAGCAAGACGGGATTTCCGTGTGAAAGCCTTTCCACACTGATTACATTCAAAAGGTTTTTTTCCAGTGTGCATTCTCTGATGTACAGTAAGACTAGAGCTCTTTGTGAAAGCCTTTCCACACTGATTACATTCATAAGGTTTCGCTCCAGTGTGGATTCGTTGATGGGCACTAAGATGAGAGCTCTCTGTGAAAGCCTTTCCACACTGATTACATTCATAAGGTTTCTCTCCAG